TCAAAGTATTCATCTATCTGTTTGCCAATATAATTTATGAACTTCTCATCTTGCAGCCATTTATGCTGGAAGCGCCAACGGGGTGGGTCTCCAGAAAGGGCCTCCTCACGATACACTAACTTACACGGGGCATGATCTGAGATGACAATATTGTTATATGAACAGTTATGTACTTTTGGAGCCAGATCTGAGGAGATTAAAAAATAATCTATCCGCGAAAATGTCTTGAATGTCCCAGAGTAGCACGAATACGCTTTTGTTTGCCGATTTCGCTCTCTCCAAATGTCTAACAAATTAAGATCTTTCATAAATTGTTTAATAGTTGTTCTGCAGTTTACGTGACTCTGATCGGTGCCTGTGGATCTATCAACACTGGGTACAGTTAAAGGCGCTATACCCGTTTCTGCAATGTTTGAATGTTTAGCACCGCCCCCCAACTCGCTCAATGGCTTCTCATTTCCCCTACGCTCTCATAACACGGAGCCACCTAGTTTTATTTGCGATCTGATACATATGCTAACATTAGCATTAGCGCAACTTCTTGTAAGCTGTGCAACAATCACTGATGGAATGGCACTAAAGCAACGCACTGCTAACACAATATATAAGTAAAAGAATACCGCTAGTTTCGCGTCCAAATGTATTAATTTAAAACCTTAGAATATATTCTAATATTTAATTATAATTTGTTATAGAGCTCCTCAAAGCAGCAGCAGCAATTCTTCCGATCATTTTTCTTGATAACAGAACTCTCAAACCAATAATGACCGAAGCCCCAATGCAATCTCTGTTTGTAATTCAGGTGTGTAAAATACTGCCATTACTCTGCAAGTACAACAAGCTATCAGCGCCTGTCACTGCACACTTGTCTGTGTAGAGAAGCTAGCGGAGCTAGCGGAGCTAGCCACGCTCAATAAACAACTACATATCTATCAATCAACACCATTAAACGTCAATCGGACTATACAGTACACATATACATCCTTAACACACATGCACGGACGATTTCAGAATTTGCTGTTAACGTTTTCATGACAAAAATGTGACAAAAAGCGATTGCGAAAAACCCGGAAGTTACCATGAAACAGCTAGCTAGCTTAGCTGTTACCTGCCTAGCACGTCCCGGTGAAACCTTTGGGAGCTAACTATTTTATTTGCAGTCATTAAATACATTTCGAATTACAAGGGTTGTCTAATATTTGTTCACATTTTTTTATTCAATTATTTTGTTCATCATTTTTTATTTTAGAATGATATTCGAATTTTGAAGTCAAAGTCCTGGTGTTAAGCAGCGCTGTAGAGGCTAGAGGACGCAGGCTGCTCGCTGCTCGTTCTGTGAGCGGAGGAGAAAGAGCGGCCCGCTCAGACTCTACTCAGCACTTTTCACTGCTTGTAATTCTTACACAGCTGAATCAATTACCTCAAGTTTTCAATTAAATGATGTATTATGATACAACTTGTATGTAGTAAAAAGCATTTTTATGAACTACTTAGAAAAAAAATCGGGTATAGCTTCTTTAAAGTTTCCACCAATTAAATGTTGTCCTGATAACGATGAAAGTAGAATAAATAAGTCTTTATAAAATTTGGGATCATCTACATTGGGACCATAGACGTTAACTAAGTTTATGCTTTCTGACAACAGTGGGCCTTGAATTATCAAATATCTCCCCCTGTTATCTTTAATAACATTATTTACATGAAATGGAACGGACTCATGAATAAGAGTCATCACTCCCCTTGCTCTGGAAGTGAATGCAGATGTGAATATACTACCCCGCCACCTTCTCCGAACTCTCTTCTCATCCTCCTCCAAAAGATGCATTTCTTGTAAGAAAATAATTTTAGAGTCCAAGTTTTTTAGTTTAGTCATCCTTCTTAAACCGTTGTAGTCCCCTGCAATTCCATGTGATGCAGTTAAGACATATTTCTTTAGTCATGTTTTATATTTTCAAGGAAAAAAGACAAAAAAGTAAATTCTTATAAGCATTATCTTGTTGTTTTCATAACACAATGAGAATTTCTGCTGGCATTCTAAATAATTTGTAAGAAGCTGAACACAACTGAACTTAAAACACACAAAACCCAAAAAACCTGAACTATTCCCCTGTAGGGTAATAATATGTTATTGTAACTTATTGTAGTATAAATTTGGTAGTGTGGATCGGCGGGTCTCCGGATCAGAGGCTCGCCGTTGCACACAAGTGAGGATCTGCTTTTATTTTTAGGGCACCAGCAGAGTTTGAAGACTTCTGCACAGATCCAACTACTTTGCCTCGAGTCAGTCTTATAATCTAATAGGTAGTGAATGCGTATATCGGCCAGTGATATCCGAGACTTAAAAACACGACGCTTAAATGATTGAGTTAAAGTTTAACGTGAATTTATTGACTACAAAAATGAAGATAGAAAATATAACGAAAAGGATTTCTGGTCACATTAAACAGAAGTTGTATACATCTCATTTGAATCACACTTCCAACAAAAGAACAGTCTTACTTTGAGATGACGAGGGAGGATGGAGATGAAAGGATGATGATGGAGAATAGGGTGGAGGCGATGTTCTCCTCCACGTGGTCTCTTTGTCCGGGCAGGCGGGAGATACGAAGCCAGCGATGCAGTCCAACTTTGGGTCCGTGCATATACAACTCAGTCTGGAGTGAGTTGCGTGCGTAGAGTCCAGAGCCAGGAAAGAGGCTGGTGGTGGAATAGTTCATACAATCCGAGCCAGGAAGGAGGTCTGTGTTCGGAGTGGAAGGCCCAATGCGTGCATGCGCGGCCGGAGTAGAAGACCCGTACCGCTGGACGCGAAGGGCAGGATAGGATAGTTGCGATAGTGATTTCGGGAAGAACCAAGAGGCTGTCTGTAAGTTTGCAGACTGGTTTTGTTGTGGTCAAAGGGGGCGCGTCCGTGACGTCATCCTTGTGCGTCTTCCCTGGACAACCCCCCTCACAACAGACAGGTTACAAGGGAAACACGCAGGATTAATACAGACGATCATAACACATGTACAAACACACACCGCATTTCATTACTTGACAATGATACACACATGTAGGGCACGGTACAGACTTATTGGGATAATACTGAGTCCGGGGCTGGTCTACACAATGTCCGTGCCGGGTGTGATAGTGTTCAGTGTCCACTGGGGGCGCCAGAACGCCGTGGGTGAGTCTCAGATTGTGGAATGTCCCGTGAGCGATCGCGGATGAATGATTCCTGATATCTGTCAGGCAGAAGGGCACACCGATGTTTGTTCTGCTGTTTTATTGCCCCTCTGGGTCTTCTTACAGTGTCCTGGCAAATGTTTAGCCTTCCATTGAACCCGTAGTTTCTTTGAAGTCTCAGGAGCTCGGGAGCGGCATGTTTACGAAAAGGGGCTGCTATTCACGCCCGACTGGCGCCTGCCCTTTTCCTCACCTTACACCCCGTAACCCGCATTAGTGAGTCACCCTCCCCCTCGTTACTTCTCCTGTTATCGTTTGCGACCAATCCACACTTTGTGAGGAGTAGCCTAAACCCACTTCTCAAAACAAACAAAAACAATAGTCCCGCTGCTGTTCGGGCTGATGTTACTCGAATTAGCTGCTGCTATAGACGTGAGCAATAATTATTACGGTATCGTTAAGTAATAAAAAATAAATATCACAAGTAAAAAAAAAAAAATACACCAAATGTCCAACCAAAAATGCTCACTTTCAAATAAAAAAGTATATTTGAATCTACCGTTACACGTCCTCTCTGTTCCTCTGAATCTTGTTCACAAACTCCCGTGCCTCTGCTGGAGTCTTGAAGGCGTAGGTCCTCTCATTATGTGTGACAAGTAGCTTTGCAGGGTGAGCCAGGCCATGTCTCAGTCCCATCCCGCGTAGCACTTGTCGAACAGAGTCAAATTGTTTGCGAAGAAGTTGTACTCCTGTGGCGTGATCTGGATAAAGACGAACTTGGTGCTCCTCGTACTTGATGATCTTCCTGGTCCTTGCTGCTGCTTCAATACTCATCTTATCTCGAAAATTGAGAAACTTCATGATCAACGTGCGAGGCGGCGCGCCAGTATCTCTTCTGGGGCCAATCCGGTGCGCTCGCTCGATAATCATTGGGGACGGGAACACACAGCCTAATGTCTCCGGTAACCACTTTTCAATCAATACGCATGGGTCCCGACCCTCCGCTCCCTCCGGTAGCCCAACGAGCCTCAAATTGTTACGTCTAGAGCGGGCCTCCAGATCCATTACTTTGTCCTCGAGCATTTTCTGTGTCGCTTCCATCTTGCTGGACTTAGCGCGTAGGGTTTCAACTTCGTCTTCTGCTCGTGAAATGCGTGACTCTGTTTCCGTGACCCGCTTTGCACATTCCCTTATTTCCATTCGAATATTGTCCAAATCTGACTTAATCCCCGTAACTATAGACAGTATGGCATCCACTTTACTGCCCGAAATCTCTCCCTCTGTTACGGTAGCCACAGGTGATGCTAGGCTAAGGTTGTCTTTCTGCTGGTCTCGGAGAGCATAATCCGTTAGTTTATGCTGTTTTGTTTTATCACCAGCTTCTTGTGACGGTTTAGTCGCTTTGGGAGGCATCCTGTCCTTGTGGGAACGTTTCAAATCTCAATAGGCAGCCAGAAAACTCAGCTTTTCGACAAATTAAAGCCCGAACAGTGTAGCGGTAAAAGATGCGTCTTCTCACGTGGGTGCCATAACCGGAAGTCCCATTTGGATGGGAATTTACACATTTATTTAAATTCCCTAAATTGTGTTCATAAGAAGCTGGAACATGATCACGATGTTTTACTTCTACTTTTTCTTATACATATCAAGCAGGCAAACCTGTATATTTAAATGTTTTGCTTTTATCTATGTGCAGCACTTTGGAAACTTGTTTTATAAAATGCGCTATATAAATATAGAGGATCCCATCTAGGTCCAGAAGTCCCATCACATCACTGTCCAGGCCCTGACCTTCTTAGCCTCAGACACACATGAGTTACAGTCAGACTTACCGCAGATCTTCCTCCTTTTGAAAGTTAATCCATCGATCATTGGAGCGTTCACTGCTCAGTGACGCCGCCCTTCTGGTGGTGGGAGGACAGTGCTCTCTCTGGTCCATGCTCAGTCTCTCTGGCGCCGCCCTGCTGGTGGTGAAAAATACATATTTTCAATCATTTAGCTTTATTTTCTGCAATATTCACTAAGATATGTTTAGTAGGAAATGTATTAGGATGCAATGAACATACTTTTGCATATTTTTCGTTTTTCTGTACTTTTTATTTAGCTTGCTTACCGTTGTGTATTGCCCTGCTAACGTGCCGTTTTCATTTCGTAGGGGGAGCTAGTGTGTCTGCTGTGACTAAAAATTCGTATTTTTGGTCCGTCACAGGTATCACTAATTCATTTTTATGTGAATTTTTGTTTTATTTGTGCATTTGTACTTCAATTTCTCAAACAAAATGGCGCCTCGCACGGTCGCCTCGGCTCTTTGGTGCGCTCTCTTTTTCTTTTTTCTCTGCTTTAATACACCCGCGAGGAGCTTCTGAACATTAGACCCACCATTCCCATTTCCCTACTACCTGTTTTCTTGGCGCCTGCAGCCGACTTGGCTCATGTTTTAGCCAAAAAAGTGAAACCCTGTAAGAGAGGAAAGCGTGGCGGTGTGTTGGCGCGTCTCAGGAGAAGGGGTGCGCGCACAGCACTCCCCGGGATATTCCTTTCCAACGTTCGCTCACTTGGCAACAAGATGGACGAACTCTCCCTACTGATGACTAAGAGAGACTTTTCCTCATCCTGTGTGCTCTGCTTCACTGAGACCTGGCTGAAAGAGCAGATCCCGGACTGCGCTCTGGAGCTTCAGGGTTTCCAGTTGTACCGCACGGATCGCCATTGTGCGCTATCAGGAAAGAGCAGAGGCGGAGGGCTCTGTTTCTGCGTCAATACAAACTGGTGTAACGATGTGACAGTGATCTCCAAGCACTGCTCTCCTGCTCGGTATTATCTTTTCATTCATTGTAAGCCGTTTTACTCCCCACGTGAGTTCGTTTCATTCTTTCTTGCCTCTGTTTACATACCGCCATGCGCGGACGCGCGCGAGGCTCAGCGCGCACTTGTAGAGCAAGTTCTGTGCATGGAACGTTTATACCCGGACTCTCTGATTATTATCCTGGGGGATTTTGAGGGAAACTTGAGCCAGGAATTACCCAAATACAGACAGTTTATCTCATGCCCGACCAGAGAGAACACTCTGGATCACTGCTACACCACTGTGCGCGGAGCTTGTTGCGCTGTTCCACGCGCAGCTCTCGGCTTCTCAGACCACTCCATGATCCACCTGATTCCTGCATACACACAGAGATTGAAGCTCGCCAAACCTGCAGTGAGGAGCTCCAAAGTGTGGTCTGATGAAGCTGTGGAAGAGCTGCGCGCATGCATGGAATCTACAGACTGGGACATTTTCAGAGCTGCCACAGATAGTTTGGATGAATACACGGACACTGACGTCTTACATTCACTTCTGCGAGGATAGCATCATTCCAACAAGGACCAGGATCATCTATAACAATGACAAACCCTGGTTCACTGCTAAACTCAGGCAGCTCAGGAAACTGAATAGCAGAGGGTATAAGGTGGCCAAATACCTATACAGGGACGAAATCAAAGCGGCCAAGGCCCAGCACACAGAGCGTCTACAACAGCAGTTTGCGGACAACAGCCCTGCCTCTGTCTGGAGGGGGCTCCGTTTGATCACCAACTACAAACCAAGAGCCCCCCACTGTGCTGACGACCGCACATTGGCTGAGCGGCTAAACCTGTTCTTCAGCCGCTTTGATGTTGCTCCTGACACCTCCCCCCACTGCTCATTCGACACCTGCCCCCTCAGCCCCCCCCTGCCCCCTCACTGACAATAGCCCCAGACGAGACACAACAACAGTTCTCCAGGCTACACCCCCGCAGTGCTGCCGGCCCGGATGGAATCTCACCCTCCACCCTGAGACACTGCGCGAACGAGCCGATCACAGTCTTCACCGACATCTTCAACATGTCGCTGGAGTCCTGCCACGTCCCCACCTGCTTCAAATCCTCCACCATCGTCCCCATTCCCAGGAAGACCCGGATCACAGATCTCAATGACTACAGACCTGTAGGACTAACGTCTGTCGTCATGAAGTCATTTGAACGCCTGGTCCTCTCCCATCTCAAGTCCTTCACCTCCCCCCTCCTGGACCCCTGCAGTTCGCCTACAGAGCCAACAGATCTGTAGACGACGCCATTAACCTGGCCCTCCACTCCATCCTACAGCATCTGGATTCCCCGGGGACCTACACCAGGGTCCTGTTTGTGGACTTCAGCTCTGCCTTCAATACCATCCTGCCATCCCTGGTGGATCACTGACTTCCTGACAGACAGGAAGCAGCGAGTGCGTCTGGGGAAGAATGTCTCGGACTCTCGGATTATAAATACAGGAGCCTCACAGGGCTGTGTTCTTTCTCCCCTGCTCTTCTCCCTGTACACCAACCACTGCACCTCCAGCCACGACTCCGTGAAGCTCTTCAAGTTCGCGGACAACACCACCCTCATTGGACTCATCTCCAACAACGATGAGTCTGCCTACAGGAGGGAGGTGGACCGGCTGGTGTCCTGGTGCAGTGGTAACAACCTGGAGCTGAACGCCCAGAAGACAGTGGAGATGATTGTGGACTTCAGGAAGAGCACAGTCCCCCCGCCCTCCGTGATGGACTCCCCCATCACCTCTGTGGAGTCCTTTCGTTTCCTGGGCACCACCATCACCAGGACCTCAAGTGGGAGCCGACCATCAGCTCCTCATCAAGAAGGCCCAGCAGAGGATGTACTTCCTGCGGCAGCTCAGGAAAGCCAAGCTGCCTGCACAGATGTTGGTGCAGTTCTACACGGCTATCATCGAGTCCATCCTCACCACCTCCATCACCGTGTGGTTCGCTGGAGCCACGATCAGGGACAAACAGACTACAGCGCATTGTGCGCTCTGCAGAGGAAGTGATCGGCCGCAGCCTTCCATTGCTACAGGACCTGTACGTCGCGAGGCCGGGCTGGTCGTATCACAGCCGACCCCTCTCACCCTGCACATGGACTATTCCAACGACTCCCCTCTGACAGGAGGTTACGTTCCATCAGAACCAAAACATCCCGCCACAAGAACAGTTTCTTCCCCTCTGCCGTTGGACTCTTGAACACTTCTTAACCTGTCCCCCTTCCCCTTTAAGTCACCTTACTGTCCCCTATTATGTCACTTTACTGCCCATCATAAAGTTACTTTACTGCTGTCGCCTTATTGCACTGCCTACTGCGCATATTGTGTGCACCATGTGCACTTGCATATTGTACATAGTAACTGTAATTATCCTATTTTAAATTTTATTCCTTAGAAGTGTATGCTGATTTATTATGCCTTACTCTATTCTTTTTTCTGACTGTTGCACTGAGCCAAAGCAATTTCCAAGTCTGTGACTTCCTGTTGCTTACGTGGCAATAAAAATCATTCTGATTCTAATTACATTGCTTACTCCACTACCTCCAGTGTATATTTCTTTTATTTTTATTACATAGTTCATGTAAAATTATTGTCAACATTTGAAAATCCTGTGACAATATTATTATTTGCTCCCCTCTAAAAGCCGCGTTGTATGCTTCAGAGGGGGAGCCAGTGTGTCTGCTGTGACTAAAAATGTGTATTTTTGGTCTGTAACAGGTCTGAGTGAAGTAGTTGACTCCACACAGTGTCCTATTGTTCGTATACGGCTCGTGGACGAGTTTGCAGCCGTTACAACTGTATCCAACAGATCACTGAGTGGATGCAAAATGACTTCCTTCAGCTAAAAGCTGACAAAACTGAAATTATTGTCTTTGGTCCCCAGAAACAAAGAGAGAGCGTCATCTGTCACCTACCGTCTCTCTCCCTAAAACCTTCAAACAAGGTCAGATATCCAGGTGTAATGCTGGACTCAGACTTAAATTTTAATAGCCACATCAAATCAGTAACATCAGCAGCTTTTTACCATCTAAAAAACATTGCCAGGATCAAAAACATAGTGTCTAAAGCAGACTTGGAGATTCTTATCCATGCATTTGTCTCCAGTAGGTTAGACTACTGCAATGGCCTGCTCACAGGTCTGTAAAACAGCTGCAGTACATTCAAAATGCCGTCACTCACCAAAACGTGACGGTTGCGTGCGTAAACTCAAAAGCTTTAAAATGATGTATCACGTGCCATTGAAACCTATATTGTTTTTGCTCGAGACGTCAAAAAAAGATCCTTTTTTATTTATTTCTTTCTTTCTTTTTTCTTCTGCACTTTGAGCCTTAATTTGACCCCCTGAATGCAGTCCTCAGGTCTCTGCACTGGCTTCCTGTGGCTCAGAGAATAGACTTTAAAACAGCTCTGCTTGTGTACATGTCTCTCCATGGCCTCGCACCAAAATATATTAGTGACATGTTAGTCCCATATGAACCAGCCCGGACTCTGAGGAGCACAGGGACTGGACTCCTGCTGGGACTCTGAGGAGCACAGGGACTGGACTCCTGCTGGGACTCTGAGGAGCACAGGGACTGGACTCCTGTTAGTGCCCAGAGTCAGAACTAAACATGGGGAGGCTGCTTTTCAGATTCATGCTGCGAAAATAGGAACAATCTTCCTGAAGATGTGAGACAGGCCTCCTCTCTGACAATGTTTAAAACCAGGTGAAAGACAGTTTTGTTTAGCTGTGCATACAACTGAGGGATTTTATATTTAGGCCCAAGCCCCGAACGGGGTAAGGGCCTATTGCGTTCACAATGGTGAAAACAAATGGTGGCGGTGCGTGACGGACGCCCATCACTCACCAAAAAGTGACAGTTGCGTGCATGAACTCAAACGCTTTAAAATGATGTATCACGTGCCATTGAAACCTATATTGTTTTTGCTCGAGACGTTGAAAAAAAAAATCCTTTTTTATTTATTAGGCCCGAGCCCCGAACGGGGTAAGGGCCTATTGCTTTCACAATGGTGAAAACAAATGGTGGCGTGCGTGACGGACGCGTCAGCACCCGTCACTCACCAAAACGTGACAGTTGCGTGCGTAAACTCAAACGCTTTAAAATGAT